AGTCAGATTTGCTCTATCAACCAGACGAAAGCAACGAAGTGAATTGTTTCGCTCTCAGGTTCGAACAACAAACTCAGTGCACTGGTCTGCTTCACATGTTCTTGCTCTTCTAGTGTCTGCTTCTCTCGGTCCATCTTCTCTTTCCGTTTCGTCTCTCAAGTCGCTAGGATCTGGAGGGATTGAGGCTTTCCTCCAGTAATATTTAGAAGTCGTATTTGTATTTGTAGGGGTTTGTTATACTACCTGAGTTGGGCAATGAGTTGTCTCTACCATGGTTGAGTCTATATGGCGTGTTGAATCTGTCAAGGAACAGGGTATGGCAGGAAGGTATGAATGGGGTTGGTGGTCTTTATTGTGCCTGGTAAGGTTTGCCTGTTCATAGACTTCTGGTGCTGACAGTATCTCTGGAGCTTGATTTGTGCTAATCTCCCTCATTGGTTCTAGTTCTGAATGCTTTTGTTATAAGTCTGATTGATTAGTTTTGTGATGGGCTAGACCAATCTTGGTTTTACCTTTGGGGTCGTTGTATTGGAGTGGGCCAATCTGGGGGTTGTGTTCTCCTTGGGCTTTATCAAGCCCTGCTCTTGTTGTTTTTTTTCCCCTAGAGCTTTCCCCTTGGCCATCTAAGCCATCATCCAAATATTTGAATCTATTCTGTTGGAGGGTTGGGTTCGTTGGAATTTGGGCTTTTTTATGTTGGGCCGGTCTTCTTCCTCTTTTTGTTGCTAGCATCCAAGGCCCAAAGGCCTCTTCCTCAGTCTGCTTGTGTTGCAGGTTACCGTTGGTTTCAATGCTACCTATGGGCAGAGTTTGCTCACCGAAAACGGCTAGATTTTTTGCCGACGGTTGACTAGGTGGTTCCTTGAATCGACATGCTTCCTTACGGTGATCAATTTGTCCACAAAGGAAGCAAAAGGAGTGTAAAGACTCATATTCTATATTGTAGTACCTACCTTCAGAATAAATTTGGGTTTTAGAGGCTTTGTGAGGTCCATTTCGACGCAGATCTGGGCAAATTTCCCCCTTGTTGCCATGGATGTTGTCCAATCGATTTTGAGAGGTTTACCAATTGTTTGCGCAATAGCATATAAGACTTTATCCTGGTAGTATTCGATCAGAAGCTCTGGAAACCGGACCCAGACTGCGGTCGTGGTTTCAAGTGCTTCAAATGGTTTAAAATTTGGTTCCCATTACCTCACTGTGAGGTAGTGATCCATGATGACCCATGGTCCCCTTGTGTATACCCTGGTATAATCTTCCCTCTCAGAGAATTTGAAAATGAAATAATTGTTGCCCAGGTCAATTGCATTGAACTCCCCTTGGAGTCCCCAAATTTTGGCAACTCTCGTGCATAGCATCTTGGAGCCTATGTTCTTTTCCAATAACCTTACAATTGATGCATTCTCCCAAGGTTTTCGGATTTTCTCCAGGAGCTTTTTAGGCAAAGAGATCATGGGGAATCCCATGTGTTCAGAGTGGATAGTAGCCGTGGTGGAGATGCCTCTTTGTTCATCATCCTCCTCATCAGACGACAGGATGTCAACTCCAGCATCAAAAAGATAGTCACTATTCTTCACTGCAGTGAGGGCTTCCTTGAAGGATTTGGGAGGGGGAAGTGCATCAGGCGCTTCCTGTGTGTTGACCACCTCTGTAAGGACTTCAGTTTCCATGGCCATTTCTTGCGCCAACTCATTTTCCGTTGGTTGATTCGCACTATTAATTTTTTTGGTGCTTCGGATTAGATGATCCTCCTCTTCCGTTGATTTTCCAAGGTTTGGTGAGGCTCGATGGTCAGAGTTTTGGTCGAAAAGAGTGCCTGACATTGCTCTCTCTGAGGATTTGCTTTAGCTATACTCACACCACAACACTGACACATTACACTAGACGCCCATGTTTGTTTATCGGCATGCGAGGGGAGATTGGAGTGTTATGGCCGTGACTCTTACCCACAGCTTGTTTGGTGGTGTTTTGGGAGGGGGAGTAATAGTTCGACGGATTTAGTTAGCTTTAGGGGTGAGCAGCGGATATACCGATCCTCCAAAACCGACCGAACTGAACCGATCCGCAGCATTTTGGATGGATGCGTGATGATGAGCGGACGGTTGCGAATTGATTTTCTCCAATTCGCCAATCTGGCGAACGGATGGCGGATTTGAAATTCCTTTGGCCGCAACCGAACCGCCAAACCGCGAACACCTCTAGTAATTTATAAAACTTTGTGTTTTCAGTTTGTTTAAATATTCTGTTTACATTTTCAATTAAAAAAGAGTTTAAATATTCTGTTGAAAAAAAGTTTTCAACTTGAATATCTTTTTTGAATTGAAAAAAATAAACGTATTATTTATCTATATTTTTTGGTTTTTAAATCTATCTCTAAAAATAATAAATAAAAAATATGATATATGCTGGTTGGTTTTTGTTTTCAAAAACAGATATAGATATAACAATACAGAGAAATACAATCTCTACTACTGCTCTGTTCGTGGTTTTGGTGGTTTGAATTGTTTTTATATTTTAAGAACCACAGATTGTAATACTTTATGTGGATGAGGCATGCTGTGATTGTAGTATGTGGATGAGGCATGCAGTGATTGTAATATTCTAAAGTTTTAAACTTTCTTACTTTGGATAAGGCATGTAGTGATTGTAAATATTTTTTTAAGTCATTAACTGTAATACTTTCTTTTTTTTTCTTTTCTTTTTTAGGAAATGCACAAGTTGAATTATGTTAAAAATTTATAAAATTTTAAACTGCCAAACCGATTCGCATCCATCCGCCAAACCGCTCAATCCACATCAGCCGGATTGGCGGACGAATGCGGATTGATTTTCTCCAATCCGCCAATATGGCTGACGGATGGCGGATTGGAGGTTCCGTGGCCGCAACCGACCCGCGCCTAGCTTAACTGGATTTTGAGCGAGAATAGAAAAATAGTGAGCAGATTAAATTTATTTTATATAAAAGTTTTATTTTTTTTTTTTACTAAGTATACCTGTTTGTTTTAATATTTTTTTTTAGTTTTTTTTAATATAGAAATAATTTTTTATTTATTTTATATAAAAATAATTTTACAATCCCATCACTAATCATCTCCCATACTATCTTCACAACAAACACACTTTTACTTAATCCCTTCATTGACAATCTTTACATTAACAATATATTCAGTAACTATCCTCTCACTAACAATCTCATCCAACCTAATTCGCCAAACAAACGTGGCCAATAAGATATAGGCAATGTTTTTTTCGATCATAATCAAAACAATAATAATAAGAGTAATGTTATTCAAACAAACAAAAAAATTCCCACTTTTCAAACCTAATAATTAATCAATTAATTACTCTTATGTTTTATTTCTCTTTCATATTGTTGTTTTGGGAAGTAGATTAAAAGTTAACTTTTTAATTTATTTTTTTTTTGTTTTAAAATGTGTAAAAAAATAGAGAAGTAATGTGACCCAAAATAGGTTAAAAGTCAAAAAAATGACTTTTAACCTTTTATCCAAAAGAAGACATCTTCTTTAATTATCAACTAAGGAAAATGCTATAAGCCCCAAATTTTCTACCAAATAAATGACTAAATACCTCACATGGGTGTGGGGTCCACAAAATTGCGGATTCCATACCAACGTGAGACATTTGGTCATTTATTTGGTAGAAAATTTGATATTCGTAATATTATCCAAAAATCATCTCACTTACACATCATTAAGTCTAAATAGTGAATCTAAAAAATAAAATTGTATATCATTTTTCTAATCACAATATATCATACTCTTTCCGTCCCAAAATATTAGTCCCTTATTTAATTTTTCATTATCTCAAAATATTAGTCCATTTTTAAAAATTAAAGAAGAAAATAATATGAATTTACTATTTTGCCCTTCTTTTAAATTCATTACTAACACAAAAGGTACAATTATGATAATTGATATTCTCAAAAATATATACTATCAATGGGAAATTTTAAAAAATTGATATTTTTAAAATGTAATAATTATACTATAAAAATAAATAAATTTTTCAAAAAAGACTATTATTTCGAAACTGGAGAAGTAACTAATATTATAATGAATTATAATCAACCTCACACTATAGAACCAAATAGCATAAATGTCATAAGTGAGCATATATTATACGGGCCTAACGGCCCTCCCATCACAGATCGGATTGGAGGGTGTTATTAGACTTGTGGGGGTCTATCATGAGATTTATTTTGATAATCCGAACTGTTCAATATGTAGAACTCATTGAGTACTATATGCCTATAAAAAATCACGTTAATCGGATATTAATAGTTACGTGATCAAATCAGTTTTGTATAAAAAAAAAATAGAAGGTGAAAAAATAAACAGTTGATAGAAAACTGATCCAATGAGATGGCTATCAATATCCGATCAACTTGATTTTTCACAAGACTATAATACTCGACAAGTTCTACATATTGAACGGTTCGAATTATCGAAACATGACCCGTGGTGGATCTCCATAAGTCTAACAGCACCCTCCAATCCGAGGAAAGTCAGTGCCATATTATATGGTCCAAAATAAGGGATGTATTATAAAATTTCCGCTCCTATTAATTAAATCTAACTTATGATATGCCCCCATCTGATTTCGAAATTGGTTTTAACAAATTGACTTCAATAAGACATGTGTTGGTAATTTCAATTTCGGCTCAATCCGATATGAATAATTCCAAGTCTATTCAGTTTGAAAATTAACAAAATAATGATAATAACAAAAAATTAAAAAAAGAAGACGACATGTTAGAAAATGGGCATGCAATCAAATCCTAACCTGAGGACTAAAAAAACCTAAAAAGTTTACAACCTGACGTCACTACAAAGAAAAAAAAATTGACTGTACAGCATCATAAAAAGAGGTTCTCAATTTGATATGTTCATTGAATCTAAAAATAAATTAAAAAATTGATATGTTCATGTTATTAGAAACAAAAATTGAGCAAAGAAAAGCATACAGGTCATTCATTTCAGTTTAAGATACAAGAATCACATGCTCCTTTGATGAAAAGACACATTTTAGAGAAATTACACAAGAACAGAGATCATATTGAGATAATAATATCAAATCACATATTTCAACCAATCTCAATCTCATCTCATCACTGACTTGGAACTGATACATAAGTGAATGCATTCTTTAGACTCTGAATCTTGAGAAGCCTACGCAATATTGCAGTCCACATGGACTGTATTCTTGAATTCACATAATGATACAAAAGAGAGACTAAATTCAAAGCTCTTGGTCATGAACTGGAATTCTATAGCTCATTTCAAAAAACAAAAAAGAATCATTATCCATCAACCACAAACCAATTTTGCAATTAGACAGTAGAGTTCGCTTTGTTTCATCCAACGGCTTCATTACCAAATCATGTTGAGAATAATAAGTCGTCGAACTATACATGAAATCCTGTCCATCTTCTGAAACTTCTAATCTCAGTTCCTTCAGACACGGCCATCCCAATTCCCATCTGTCCTCCTCGGCCAATTCCTCTATAATACAACCTCCATTCATCTGCAACCCCATCCATCTGAACAAGACATGGCGATCCCACTCCTTTATTATCCCACCCATCTTCTTCCGATGGCTTTAAAACCGCCTCACTTTGAACTCTCCGCCAAACCTTCAAGCCATCTGTAGACTCCGCCAATCCAATACTCCTTCCCCCGTCTGCAGCAACACCTTCATAAACCATCATATATTTTCCTTCTTTCCGATTTCTCACAACATGAGCATTCACCACCCCAAATTCATCGAAAGCACCATTCCCTCCTCCCCCAATTATTTTCCCCAATTTCACCCACTTAATCCCATCTCTTGACCTTGCAATCCCAACAGAAAACACACCATTTTCCACATCAAATGAATGATAATACATTCTAAGATCACCAGTACCATGAAAGACAACATGTGGAGAGGCAATAAATGTAGAATCCCACTCACCATTAGAACCCACATCAAATAAAGCCCCGGTATGATGTTCCCCTTCAATTCTAGCCCAATGCCTCCCATCTTGACTCATTGCCAAGCCCGGTAAAGATTTAAAAACCTTACTAATCCCACCATTCTCACCATTAAAAATTCGAGCCCTTTCTGGGTTCTGCAATGTGAATTCCACAGAATTATCCCAAATATCAACCTTTTCAGAGCTAAACCCAGCATAGTAAAGCCAATACACAGCATTGTTTGCTCTGACCTTTGTACTAGACATAATCACAACCTCACAAGGCCTGATACTCTGTGTATCAAATGCCCACCAATCTTTACTGCAATTCATGACCAAACCCGAATCCCCACTCGACCGAACTGGTCCACCGCCTCTTTCCCAATGAACACCATTGCTTGAAACCGCCAAACCAACTGAATCCGAACCCGGATTTCCATCAGACCTTCCATGGTACCACATGTACCACCTCTCCTCCTCATCACTGAGGTACCTTTTCACAACAGGGGACCCAATTTCAAAACTGTCCCAAGAGTTCTTGGGGCCCAAATCGAACACCAAACCTCTAGAAAACGATGAATTCGGAGAAGAAAGGGGTTGATTCGAATTGGGTTTTGTGGGTTCTTCTTGAAAATTCGAATTTGAGCTGGGTTCAACGGTCGAATTTCTGTTGTCTCTGTCTGTGTTTGGTTTTGTGGAGCAGTGAGTGAGAAAGAGGGGACGAGCTCTGTTTCTAGGGCTAGAGGCATAAAGATCAAGCATGCTTGGTCTGGTGATACAACAAGAACGGGCTAAGGCGGGAGTTGTGAGGACGTTAACAGTGTTGGTCATGGTGATTGCTGCTGTCAATGCAGTGTCCATTGTTGGACTCCGGAGGGGTCTCAAGTGTGAAGAGATCAAACGAAAATGGAGAGTTTTTGGAGGGTGAAGGACCAATTAAATGGCGACACGTTTGAATGAATATATCACCTATGAGTGAATAGAGAAAAAAAATGTTTTGGATGATATCTCTAAGGCAATGTAAAAACATTCATTTCATGTTATGGATAATATGCTTTTTTTTGAATAGTGGCAAATATCTAGTTTCACCTTTTTTTTTTTTTTTTTTATTGTCTTTGTAATCGGGGATTTCATTTTTTTTTTTTTTTTGACATTCCATGTAACGTTCGCATATTTATTTTTTAAATAATTGTAGGAAGTGATATTTTATATTATGTACCCAATAAATGCAAATGCTATATTTTATATTTTTTTCAAAAAATAATAAAAAGAATTGCTACTGTGGGCTCATTATGGTGGAGGAAGAGAAATAGAGCTTCAACAAATTTTAACTCAAATTTAACATAAAATTTATAAATGTTATTATTTGATAAGAGTTTGGGCACGCCATTAAACAATTTTTTTTTTTTAAGTTGTGAAATTTTTGCCTCAGCAAAAGATGTATAGCATACAATGACGTTTCCTATCATAGTATAGAGAGGAAGCCCTCTGAAAGTTGATCAATTTAGAGCTGGCAAATTAAAGTAAAATAATATAAAGTATGTACAAATTAATGAATTTGTTGGGTAAAGATAAAAAGAATGATATGAAAAAAAGGAAAAGAGGATCGTATTCTTGGCTATCAAGAAAGGGACATATACATAGACAAGAAAATCTATTGGGTCTTCTACTGTCAGATTCTGCTAGTGACAGTAATGGTGTCATGTGAAGAAATGAGATTCAAATGATGAAGGGTTGTTTGGTTTGCTTCACAATGTGAAGTTCACATGAACTCCCCTTTATGCATTTACTGAAAATACTTTTTAGGTTTGAGATTATATTTTAAAATTATTGATTAATTTATGGGCAAATTACATATACACTCCTCGAGGTTTGGTTAAATTACAGATATCCCCCTGAGGTTTCAGAAATTACATCCCGCCCCCTGAGGTTTGTATTTTCATAACAATTTACCCCCTTAATGGTGTCATGTGAAGAAATGAGATTCAAATGATGAAGGGTTGTTTGGTTTGCTTCACAATGTGAAGTTCACATGAACTCCCCTTTATGCATTTACTGAAAATACTTTTTAGGTTTGAGATTATATTTTAAAATTATTGATTAATTTATTGGAGAAAAGCAATTTGTTGCCCATTCCTCTTTAGAGTCCTCAACAAATCAAAACTTCGAACACAAGGTTAATTTTATCCTAGAATTATTTAATCCTAAAGTGTATCCTATTTATTGCTCGGGCATAATCATGGGTTCAAATTCCTTGTACTTGCTAACCATAATATATAATAAAATGACAATAATGATCAGCCCTTGTTGAATTCTGGTACAATTACATAAGGATCACAACTATTCATAATATCTTCTAGTGTCACAACGAAAAGATTAGTAACATTCTCAGACTTTGCAAATAAATTTGGTTTACGCCAGTCTAATTCGGAAAATTTAGAGACATCAACACAATATGCAAACAATTATAAGGTAAAAAGTTGAATTCCTCTGAATCAATTTTCTACTTGCATCCAAAATTGTATAGACAGTTGTATATATAGTCATGATATATCATCATTGACCCCATCAACTAGCTTCAGACCCCATTTCATATCCTCGCAATGCCTAACGTAAGGAACAACAGAACCGGTATCAACCCCTTTCTTTGCTTTGCAGTCGTAGAATGGAGGAGCGTGAAAACAAGGTTCCATCGACATGCCCCAACGACAAGGTGGATCTGGAGCCATCCGATTCTCAGGCTTGTACAGAATCAAAGGGTTAATACCCGCCAAACCCTGAGCCACGTAGCCAAATGTTGACCATGAACTTGTGACCAAGTAATCAGTCAAACTAAGGAGATAGATCTCTGCCCATGCCTTCAAGTTGTGCATCTGCTTCTCAGTCTGTTGGTGCTCTTCATGACTCGGTTGGTAAATTCTGATCACTTCCCCAGTAACGGTCGGGTGTTCCCAATACATCTTTCTCAAATTCTCAGAGTACCCAGGATATAAAGAAGTTATTAAAACTGCTTTTGTTTTCTGGTTTCTAGGCAGAGCTATCACGGGTTCATGAACGTTGACTTGTGGAAGTAATTTGTTCTGTAGAGTACAGGCTAAAATTTGATCCATTACGTGTGGAAATGTTTCGGTTCCAATGTCGAAGACTCTTATTTGGATCCCAATTCGCTCGTCTGCATTTGCTAAGTAAGCCTGATAGTACCTCGTGATTAGTCCCCAGACTTCGTTCGTTGGATGAAAAAGATACCGACCCAAGTGATGGAAAACATTTCCTTTCTCGGGGAATAAATTGCCTAGTTCTTGCTCGAAGGATGGAATCAAGAAGAGAGAAGGGACGAAGTAGTTATCAGTTTTCATAATCAACCAAGGAACTTTTCCGAGAAGAGCTTGTTCTTGGTCGCAAAAGAACAGCTTATCATGATCGCCATAATCATGAACAAGATGGAGATACAGAAATGATGGCAGTGACTCTTTTGAATGATTTATGATGTTATTTTTCAACAAGTTTCCATAACAATGAGAAGAGTTCTGATCAAAGCTTTTGAACTGATTCATAACGGGGAAGTCCTTTGGCAAAAGCCATGATTTCTCAGGAAATGGTTCACAAAAGAGATCGGCGATGTCGTTTCCTCCATCGACGAGTAAGACTCGGTTTGTGAGGAGAGCGTAAAGGAATGCAGAAGCCAGAGTTAGTATTCTGTTCCCCAAGCCACTAAACGATACCCAGACTATATAGCTGCACTCTGTGGGACCCGAGGCTTGGCCAGACTTGAGTAGCTCCACGGTCTTGTTATAGAGTTTGGTGTAGGGTCCGCAACGTTTATGGAGATCCTCATATCTCCGTAACCGAGAAAGGAGATAGGAAGAAGGAACATGGGATGATGAATATTTGTGATATGAGGCAGACTGGTACCTGCTTAAGCAAGATTGTTCATCGAACCCAGGGACAAGAAGTCCATTGAGCAATTTGTCAACAGGTTGAGAGGAATAATCTTCTGAACCTGTAATATGCAAGAGAAGAAGAGGACATATTAACAAGCTAGAAGTATCAGAAAATACCACTTTTTCTGGATCTGGTAATAGATATTCATTGAGGAATGTGTAGAAATAATAATATCCCAGACTTTTTGAATAAGGGAGTAGAATCAAAGGTTTGGATACTGATATTCTATTTTGGAGCTGTGGTTCTAAACTAAATCTATTTTTTCCAAGAAACTAAAGAAAATAATAAAACTCCAAAGGAGAACTACCACATGATGATAATTAAGCATGTCATTTCAGAAAATTGACAAATGATTCCAAGCCTCCTTCCAAAGGAGTATATGCTCAAAATTGTGAAAATATAAATAAATAGGAACAACAATAGTTTAGCTCAAAAGTTCAATAAAATAGCTAATTAGACTCATTAAGATTCTTATAACCTGTGTACATGTTTGAATAGCCACCGCTACGTGGCTGGCCCTGTGAGTGCCATGTTATCTCCAACTTACCAACTCAGATAAGGAATCTCCAAATGGCAAGCCGTCCTGGTATTATGTCATCTCTCAGACAAACCATTGGTGTAATGAACCTAGCCTAAGTGGCGGGCACATGAACTACCAAGTATGGTTCCCTAACTACTAAACATGCTTGGTGACTTAGCTCCAAGCAATGGCATCATAGGACAAGTTAAGGATAGGACACCCTGAGGCGTGGCACCTCCACTCAACCACCCTTCTCATTAGCAGTATGGCCCAACACCTTTGGCTCAGTGTCACAGGCCAACTCCTTTAGAGGCGCAACGGATCAATTCTTCTCCCGTGTGGCGCTCAAACTTCACCAAGTTTAAGCCAGCCAAAGCTCGTTGACAAATCGAGTGTTGATGATCTCACCTACTTGAACATTAGGACCCAATACTTTGTCAAGCAAAATAACTTTACAAGGAAATTTCATTTTCACCCGGATGCCACAAGTAGGCTTGACGCCTCAAGTGCACCAAGCACGGCGTAAGTCGCTTCATAGTGCCAAGCTTACCTCAAGCAAGGTGCTCGCCCAACTTAGGTTCATGTCATCAAGGTGCCTAGCCACACAACGAAGTGCTAGCGAAGGCCCTTGACTTAGCCGACAAGCCAACATAGCATGGTAGGTCTTTGACTACATCTCAAAGTGTCACAAGGTCAAGCATGCCTCAATAGATGCATATCGGATAGCCATACGGTCATGCAAAACCCATAAGCCACCGACGGTCAATCTCTTGCCTACGGCGTAGTCCTCGTGCCAACACGTGTTAGATTCCGCCTAAGGCCATTGCGCACCTTAGCATTGCACCAACGTGTAGCATGAGTAAGGCAACGTCTCAACCCGTAGCTCGCTTGTAACATAATGTCATCCCTCAATGGATTTAGTCAATGCATAACTTGATGCTTTCATTCGATAGTCCACATATGCAGTGTTGCCTTCCAACCGCTTAGCTTAAGGCACGGGATCCTCTCATGCAAGGTTGAACCCAAACCTTAGTTGCACGGAGCAGGAGCGGGGGAACTTGACCACTTAGAAGAGTCGTAGATTAGGAGCTTATGTATTATTTTTATTAATTATATTTTTAATTTATCTTTATTTTTTTTTTTAATTGACATACATGTTTATATATTTTTTTAATAAATAAATTGACATATATATATATATATATGTTATAAATGAAAAAAGTAGAGTTGCTACCAAAATATAAATATTTTATAAATTCCCATTAGATAGACAAAATATATCACTAAGGTTGGGCAAAATCTATACACTTTTTCATTAATCCCCCCGTCCCAAAATATTAGTCCCTTATTCCATTTTTATTCTCCCAAAATATTAGTACTTTTTCAAAAATCAAGGACTAAAATAATATTAATTTTCTATTTTGCCCTTCTTTTAAATTCATTAACACCACAAAAAATACAATTATGACAATTGATATTTTCCAAAAAATATACTATCAAAGCGTAATTTTAGAAATCAATTTTTTTAAAGTGCAATAATTATACTACAAAAAAAAAAATTTAATGCCCCAAAAAAGACTACCATTTTGAAATGAAAGGAGTATATTTTTTCTCACATTTCTAATATTAACAAGTGATTTTTCTTATAATATTTGTTCTTCTACAACACTGTTTATTCTATTATCCCAAAGAAAATAATTACAGCCTACACCTAGGGCATTGGAGATCTAAAAAGTCTTATTAAAACACTGTTTACTCTCACCCAAACTCTGTATATACACCCATCTATGTTTACTCTCTCACCCAAACTCTATATAAAAAAAACTCAGCATATACCCCCCTTCCTAGGAAGCACGGATACGGATACGGGATACGGATACGATACGATACGGATACGGCGATACGACAAAATTTAAAAAATTAGGATACGGGTACGGCGGGGATACGTTCGTAAAAAATATTATTTTAACAATTTTTAGTAATGCAGTATGCATAAAAATAAAACCTAAAGCAAAAGATAACTTGATAAAGAAGAAAAATTCCTATAAAACTAAGAGTCTTCAAGGTCAATAGCTTCAACTTGTTCCCCTTCATCAGTGAATATCACAGACCTTAGCTAAAGCCAAAAAACCATTCTTAAATAAAAATTTCAGCAAATATACTTTTTTAAGTCATCAATGATAACCTAGGAAGCACGGATACGGATATGGTGATATGGGGATGTGGATATGGCGATATGTCAAAATTTGAAAAAGTATGATACAGGTACAGCGAGGATACATTCGTAAAAAAAAGAAAATTATAATTTTAATAATGTAATATGCATGAAAATAAAACTTAAAGTAAATTAATAAATAAAAAGAGGGATTCCTATTAACCTAAAAGTGCTCAAACATTCATAAAACATCCAAAACTAAAAGCAAAAGCAAAAGCAAAAGCAAAAGTAAAAGTAAAAGCAAATGCAAATTAAACATCATCCTTACATGCCAACACCAAAAAAAGAATGAGAGCATAGAGAAGAAACGTGAGAGAGTGAGAAAGCGAGAGAGAAGTGAGAGAGACAACAAGGATACATCAATTTGACAAATTCTATTACTTTAACTCTCACTATATTCCTCTTATCAAAGAACTAAATAAAATATTATAAGTAATATGTAACTTCGAGTATCCGATACTTCAAAATTAAGTATCCGATACTTCAAAATTAATAAAAAATTACTTAAGAAGTATCCGATACTTTTAAGAAGTATCCGATACGTATCCGCGAGTATCCGAGGAGTATCGGTATCCGATAAGTATCCGATACGGATACGTCACCCTTTTTGAAGTATCCGTGCTTCATAGCCCCCTTCTCTCCTTTATACTTCGATGACCAACGTTCCAGCTTCTTCTTGCCGACTGACTCCACCGCAGTTCTTCTTCCTCTATTCTTTGACAGGTGCTAGGTCTTCTCAACTCCACTACACAGTTCCTCTTCCTCCATCCAAACAGTCTAGTATCTATCTCCTCTCTCCACACCAAACATTTTCCAACCTCAGGCCCGGCAATTGCATTACCGACGGCAGACCCAAAGCCATCCTCACTGATTATGGAGTAATGGATATATGAATAGATGTGAACCTGTTCATGAAATTGCCAATCAGATTTAGATATACCCAAATTCTGTAAGTAATATTTGAATTTAATGGTTATCTCGTACGTGCTATTAATTTTTTTTTGTATATATGCTTCATATTTTTTACCCAAAATCTTGTTCGAATCTTTGTTTTTATTTATTTTGCATCTGGAGTTGTTTGATTTTCATAGACAGTTTCATGTCATACCGAAACATGATTTTCTCCCTTAAGAATCACGTTTCTTACATGATTTTGATTCGGGAACACAACATCGCGTTTCTCCCACGAAATCGTCACCTATTGTAACGATTCCTACTACTAAGACCCAAACCAAGCACTTGAGTTGGCACACGAGGCCTGTGGTGGTGCCTCGATTGCCCATTCGGTCTAAAACAAGTCCCCAAGATGCCATATCGAGTGGCATAATGGAAACAACGTGTCAAACCTCTCCCTCGGGGAACACGCGCAGCGCTTACATTTTTGCACTGCCCACGGGGCTCCCAAGCCCACGTGGAGACTCTAGACACCCCTCTGAATGCCTAAAGCCTGCCCTTGAGTTGTCCCAAGATTACTCACTTGAAGCCCAGTTTGGGTGGAGAGGCAGGTAGGTAGCACATCTTGCCCCCTTGTATATGCTTGTTAAGCATTTAGCCATCTGGCACAAGGAAACATGCCTTTGTCCGAGAAGGCATAATGATTTTTCAAAAATTCCACAAATTGAGAAAAATCATGAAACTTGGTTGGGAAAACACTTCTCCCAAGACCTCTTTCCAGTAAAAATTTAATCCCAAAATTCTTTCATTTGGATGCCCAAACAACGCGCCAAAAATCTGCACTGTTGACTACTGCTGCTGCTGGGACGTGGCCTGGGCTGTGACTGGCAATGCTGGCAGGCAGCCTGGGCTGCGGCTTGAGCCGCGGCCTGTCTGTGGCCTGCCTGCTAGCTGCTGCTGATGCTGGTTGTTGGCATAGGCTGCAGCCTTGCAGCTTGCTGCTGCTGCTGCTGGTGGCAGCTGGCATGGGCTACGGCCTGTGCTACTTGGGCGTGCTGCTGGCTGCGTAATGGCTTGTATGCCTTGGACTTCTTGGGGCCAATGTTGGGCCACGTTGAGGCACTTCTGAGGGCCACTCTTGAGCACTCAGTTGGTCACACCACCACAAGCAAAACGTCACGGAGTTAGCCATACAAGGCAACCCGTAACACTCTCCTCCACTCCAACCATCAACGTCCTTGTTGATGTAGCACAAAGCTGATGTTGCACTGCATGTACCAGCTCCTTTGACGAGTCCAACACCTCTGTGTTGGTGGCCTACCTTCAACGTCCAATTCTTTTAGCCAAGCACCCCTCATTGTTCTCCACTCAAATCCAGCTGAAATGCACCCCATTTGTTGCACTCTCTATTGGCAACTTTTCTCAAAACTCCGCTGAGTTAACCACCCTTGAAAACTTGCCCCTTTTGAAAAATGGCCTCTGCCAAAGCTCCTCTAAGCGTCTCTGAAACTATGCCTTTCGCCAATACTCTAAAACTCTACCCTTTGCCAAGACTCTTGAAATGCCAAGCGCTCATCTCAAATAGCCTCTCTGCCAATGCTCCCCTGAGCAATCTTACGCTCCTCTAAGCAAACTCAAGCTCCTCTAAGCTAACTCCTCTAGGCAATGTTCCTCTAATGGTCCCTCGTGCTCCTTCGAGCTAACTCGCAGTGGGTCATCGCATCGTGACTCTCGACCAAGGAATCATCTATCGAGCAATGAGTCTCCTATGCCTCATCCCCCCTTCCTCAACAAAGTCATCTCCTACATGACAAGGCATTTCCAGTACAGCCATGGCCACTTAGGCCGGGAGTAAGGCGTAGGATTCTCTACCTCAAATCACTAGAGGTATGTGGTTTAAAAGCTAGAGTTAAGGCATCATCAGGTCACTCGATTCGTCGAAATAGCCCTAACAGTCTTAGACAGGGAGAAAGAGAGATGCTTTGATCAAGACGTGACATATCAGAGAACATATCATACGTAATACCAGAGCCCCTCCGCAGCACTCATGATACAAATCTCAAGGTGTGATTCTAGGACCGGTGGTAGTTGAGAGATAAATCCATCTTGTTGAACCAAAGAAGATAAGCCACCTATCTAGAGGTGAGTTGGCCTCCATGGTTTGGCACCCAATATGAAAGGCCTCCATGCATATGTTGGGGGGCATGACCATCCATCCTCAACTATCATCTCCTATTCATTGCCACCTTCTCTCTTACTATGGTTGGCCAAGCTCACAGCCTCTCCCCTCCTGTGCTCACTCTCCATCCAAGTGTCTGCCATCTTCCTATCACCACCAACCATCTACAGTTTGAAACAACTAAAAGCTATAGTGGCTATTTTCAAATATTACAGGCTCAGAAATCATAACTGCATAAGACAATATTTGTAGTAAGCCAACTATAACTTCTTGTTGTAATTTCATAATTAAGTGTTGCATGCACAACCTAAAAATATGTTGTAAGTCAAAGATAATTGCCCTAACTATATTTACAGATGCAGGCAGGTTGCTCAAATTACAAAACCTTGACCATATCAATGAGTTTAACTACACAGAAATTCATGGTGCAAATCCTGCTAAAATTAATTGGTACTAGTAAAACACACAATATTATATTTTAACTAATTGAGTTAAGATATAACGGCCTTATACAATCACGATACAGCTATGGCTATTTATGGTTAATTTAAATTATGCTTCTTTGTAAGAAAACCGAAAATGAATCTTTCTGATAAAATAACTTGTGGGGTGCAAATCTTTTTCTCTTTCTTACTGGCTGAATTTGAACCCATTAGTAGGCATTAGCACTTGCAAATTTATAGGAATTTTTTGCACTTGGATTACATTACTTCATTTCTGTGTCTATCAGATAAATGCTACAAAGATGACTTGTTATGAACTCCAAGCCTGAACCTTATACTGTAGGTTAATCTGAATTGCTAAATTTACAGGTGTTCACAGAGAACATTCATATTAAAATTCTTTATTTTCTTCATTAGATATTCCTGCATATTGCAAATTTCTTTTTATTTTTTATTTTTTATTTTCTTATCTTTTTTCTATGCCGCTCTAGATCCATCGCAGATTTTATAATCAAGCAGTTTGCACATATCTCCATTAATAGACAGAACAATCAAGAACACATTACTGTAGATAAGGCAATGATAATCAACCCCATCAAACAAACACAATAATAATCTACACTTCCAAACTTCAAACCCAATAACACAACCAATGAGTTATTCTGAATTTGAATCCTGGGATGCTCATGAAGCAAATTTAGCTTAAAAGCATGAACACATTCCACAAACAAGCTGAACCACATTAATCACTTGTGTACTGTCTTCTGTTCCCAATGACAAAAATCTCAAAAGCACTATATTGAAATTTGAAATTGACCCAGAATTTTCTTCTTGTTTATTTTTTCTTTTGGGGTTCGAATTGAAATAGATTTAATATGTATGTATCATCAAATAGGTATATAAACTTATCAATTCGAACATCAACAACCATCAATTTGAAACATATATGAAAGGCACCAATTAAAGGGTTGGTTCAATATTACCTGTTCTCAGTGGAGCAACTTGAAAATCCGTAGCTTTAGCGAACCATGGGGTGCGATCAGTTGGTGGTGGTGTTCGATGAATCACAGAGAGAGTGATTAAAACAGGCAAAGCAACAAAACAAGAGGACAACAAGATCTTGACAAACTTGGATTTAGTGAACCCCATTTTCTTGACTGGGACTCCGATGCCGATGGTGCTGAATCTTCGTAAAGTGGGGAGCTTCGGTGGCGACAGAAATCGCCTCCTGAAAGCACTCAGATCCATTCAGAACATTGGGGAGTTCACTTCAGCTCATGCCTTCATGTGCGTTGAGTTGCTTCCATGTCGTTGGTTGGGTGAGTTGCTTCCATGTCGTTGGTTGGGTTTTTATTTATTTTTTTATTTTTTTATTTTTGTTTGGTTTTTGGCTGGAATCATCATTGATCTTGGTCGCCCATTTCGGGCTCATCAGTCAACAGTTTGATTATAAAATGAGAAAAAAGAGATGGTTGATTTTGACTTTTGATCAGGGAAAATGGACTTGTTGTAATGTATCATCTGTGATTTTATTTTTATATTTTTTTTCTCAATAAAAAAGGTGGTTAAGATGATTTAAATAATTACATTTTTAAGTTTTTTATAAAAAAAAGGAAAATTTACCCATAAATCCTAGTTTTTGAAACGTTGAACCATTTAGTCCTAAAAGTTTTCTTATGCTCCATTTAGTCCCATTTTTACATCAACATGATGTGAATGATGTAAATGATCTGATGTTTCATTCTATAATTTCAAAATTTATTGAAATCTGATGAACATTAGATGTTTTTCATCCTATATTTTCAAACATTATTGAAATTTGATGAGCATTAGATGTTTGAAATCCAATGTTTGTAACATGACTCTGATGTTATTAACATTGTATCTGATGTTATTAACATTGTAATGGGACCTTTCAGTCTATAAGAAAATTTTTAGGACTAAACAGTGCATAAGTTATTAATTTGGGATTTATCGGTACATCCCCAAAAAAAAAATATATAGAAAAATTTAAAAGATAATGTGATTTAAAAAAATTAAAAAAAATGTGTTAATATAAGAAATACTAAATAATACTTAGATTTAGAGCACCCACCTTATGAATATTTAAAGGTTTATTTCAATTTTAATTTTGATTTAACTGGTAAAAAATTTATTTTTTAAAATTTAAACTAACAAAGCACTCCGGTACTTTTGGTTTAATTTTTAAATTAATATTTAGATTAAAAAAATCAAAAAATATGTTTCATTTACTAATTTTTAAAACTCTTTTCAAAATTACTCTCTTTCTCTTTTTTTAATTAATAAACCAATCAATTATTTTTTTCTCTCCTTTCTCCTCTCTCATTCTCGAGAAATTATTAGTTGGTCTTAGAGTATCGCCACGTGGTGCCCCAATGGTGTTGTAGTTGGTGAAGGGAGTGGAGCCTACGAATTTGTATTAGGTGATTGAGGAACATGACGAGGCATGGTGAATTGTGATTGGTGTAAGGCATAGCTACGTGACGTCCTAAGACCAACCAATAATTTTTTCCCATTCCCTCACATCCATCTATTCAACTACTAAAAATATATATATATATATATATATATATATTAAAATACAAATCTTCTCAAAATTCATAACTAAACAAATTTTCAATTTTCAAAACTCTTTTTAACAATTTATTTTTCAAAATACAACTCAAAACTCAAAAAAAATTTCTAAAAATTAAACCACACGAAGCCTCCATTTTTTTTAATACTATTCTGAACAAGTTACCTCTTACAACCTATTTAATTGGTTTTTAATTATATGATTTAAATCATTTGAATCATAAAAAAATAAAAAAGGTTAGGGTCAATAGACTAAAAATTCATAGTTTTGGAACGAAATAAAAAAATCAAAATCACAAACTTTTATGATCTTATATGGAGACTCAAACATCAATGAAAGGTCACAAAAAATAATTTCTACTTTGTGGAAGAAAGACTGATCTTAAACAAAGCTTCAACACAGCATTAGGGATCATGACTAATAAGCCTAAGAACCTTGGCACCTTAAGGGTGAGACCAAGCCTTGAAAGCTTTGCTTTCTTCTAATGGAAAAGATGTACTCTTTGAGAGTTTGAAGTTTTGTTACTCCTCCTTTCTAGTACAAGCACACGATAATAGGAACCACAAGGTGTAGCCTTCCAAGCAACACAACACTACGTACACACAAATACAGAAGGGCTCTCAAGCTTGTGAGTGTCTATGTCTCGTTTTATGTATTTCTAATATTACTGTAGCCTTGTCAATCATCAACCAACTTGAGCCCCCAACTTGTATCCTCACAATGTCGAACATAAGGAACTCTAGCCCCGGTATCCGTTCTTATTTTCGCCTTGCAATCATAAAACGGAGGAAAATGAAAACAAGGTTCCATTGATTTGGCGCGATGACATGGCAAATCATAATCCATTTCCTTTTGGGGATTGTTTAAAATCCATGGTCTCAAACCTCCAATCCCTTGAGCTACATATCCAAAGGTTGACCAAGGGCTTGTGATCAACACATCCATCAAGCTAAGAAGATAAATCTCAGCCCATGCCTTCATGTGGTGTGTTAGGTTCCCAAGCTGTTGGTACCCTTCATGACTTGGTTGGAAAACACCAATCACTTCCCCATTAATTGTTGGATTTTCCCAATACATGTTTCTTAAATTCTCAAAGTACCTTGAATCCAAGGATGTCACAAGAACTACTTTTGATTTCGGGTTTTTATTAGACTGGTAATCAACAACAGAGACAGATTCTTGGGGATTCTTGATGGGTTTTAGTTTGGGAAGCAAGTTTTTCTTTACAGAACAGTCGAGTATTCGATCCATCATGTAAGAGAGTGGGCTGGTTACATCGTATGAATCATTTCTCCGATTGAAAACTGATTCGTTTACAGCCAAGTGTGGGAGATAGTAGCTAGCTATATGATCCTTCAAGCCTCGGAATGGCAAGTTTGTGCTTTTAAAATCTCTCACTTGGATTCCAATTCTCTCATCAGCTTTCGCCAAGTAAGCCTGATAATATCTTGTGATTAGTCCCCAAACTTGATTGGAAGGATGGAAAAGGTACCGACCCAAGTGATGGAAAACAGTTTCCTTTTCTGGAAACAACTTTCTTAGCTCTTGCTTGAAAGATGGAATCAAAAACAAAGATGGAATGAAGTACTGATCCGATCTGATGACCAACCATGAGACCCCTCTCATGAAATTCTGATCTTGATCGCAGAAAAATTGCTTGTCATAATCATCATAATCATAGATTAGATTGAAGTACATAAATGGAAAAAATGACTTTTCCATTGAAGTATCTATGATGTGATTCTTCACCATATTCCCATAACAATGAGGAGATTCCTTATTGAAGGTATCAAATTGGTTTTTGATTGGAAAATCCAAAGGGAGGGCCCACGTTGTATCAGGGAATGGCTCACAGAGGAGGTCAACCGCTTTGTGTCCTTGGTCAATGAGCAAAACTCGGTTTGTGAGGAGAGCATAGAGAAATGATGAAGCTAAACTTAGTAACCGGTTTCCTAGTCCACCTTGGGGCATCCACAGATGTACAAGATATTTGCAGTCTATGCGGGCAGTGCTGTGATCACCGGGCTGAAAATGCTGTAGGGTTTTGTTGTAGGATTCGGTGTGGGGACTACAGCGTCTGTGGATAGATTCGTAGCTTCGCAACGTGGAGATGAGATGGGGCGAGGGTTTGTGGGGTGAAGTTTTGCGGTATAGAGTGGATTGGTACCGGCTTGAGCATGTTTTTTCGTTGAAATCTGCAGATAGAAGTCCATCAAGCAATTTGCCTTTGAGTTTGGTTCTAGTACTTGAAGAATGATATACTGAACCTGCAAATCAAAGAGAGGGAAAACCAGAAAAGTGAAAAAAAAAAAAAAAAAGGAGGAAAGAAAGAAAGAAAGAAAGAAAGAAAAAGAAAAAAGAGAGCATGTTGATAGTATATAATCAGTGTTTGGATTTGTGTTTGTAGACAGAAAAGAGAGAAAAAATAGCTTCCATTTATTTCACTCTTTCTTTTCTTTTTGTTTATTCACTCAACAATCTAAAACAATCAACCAGAAGTATATCATATAATGGTTAAGGACTTTCCAACAATAAGAGGAAACTCATGTTCAAATTGTTTGCAGCATAATAATTGACGGCAACTCAACGCACGAGTGTCACGATGAGGCCAAAAAAAGATCAGATATATATAGTCTCATCTGTTTTCAAGATGAGTTAGAAGTCCACTGTTTAGTTTTGTTTAGCAAAACAGAAAAAGAACAAAAGCAAGATAACATTTAAAGAAAAAATGTATCCAAATTGACTTAGATCTAATCTCAATAAAATCACTCACAGAGAAACTAGTCATCACCCAAATATTCCAAACCCTTTTATGAGCTCAAAAGATAGACATTTTGAGTTCTGAAATTTTAACGTGAAAGTAATAGGGTATGTATATACCTTTTTGGGAAATTTTCCCAACTATTCCCAATCCTCCATTTTCATCCAGTGTTGTTTTACAATAAATCAATGAGACCACTATCAAAGCAGGCCAAATTACAGAACAAGTAGCCACAATCCATCTTCTCCTCATCATATAGAACCCTAATTTCTTGCAATGTAACACAAACATGGACATTTCCCCACAAAGGGTCAACAACGTTCGAGTTGTTATCAGAAAACATTGACTCAGTAACAAAGTCGTTATTAAAAATTTAGTAACATCCGAATTTAGTAATGACACCCATGATAACTCCATGAAATATGAATTTTAAAAAAAAATAAATAAGAAAAAATCTTGCATAGTTTTGCTTGAAAGGGGGTTCTATTACTTGTTAGCACTGATTTTTGACATAGGGAGTTTTATTAATGGCACTTAATGTAATGGATATGTAACATATTCATAAAAAAAATTTGTGCTGTATTTATTCTTATTTAATAAGATGCACGGTTACATCTGTCAATGGCATAACATATGCAAACAAACACCAAAACACATGTGAAAAATAGAACTTTATTAGTACAAAAATCCAATTTGAAATTTCAATTTGCTCATTTGGGATTTTTTTTTTTTTTTTTCTCAAAATGGGGGCAAGTAGGAAGCAATTTTTTCATAACCATTTTGTTCTTAACCCCCTATTTTTCTTCATTTGGTACTTTAGCTAAAAAAATATTATTATGACATTACAGTCTTAATTTTGTTGAATTGTGTTTATATTTACAATTCAAAATTTTTTTTTCATATAATTCACTACAAAAAATTAAATTTTTAGAGACTAAAATTTAGGGGCAAATTATTTTTTAGTGGCCAAATTTTTTTATTGAGAAAAATGTCGTCATTATATTTTTAATCACAAAAATTAGACATTAGTGATGAATTATTATCTTTTTGTAACCAAATTTTGTGTCTAAAAAAATAAATCATTTTGAGACCAAATTATTTTGTCCCTAAAAGTGTATTTATTAGTGATATTTTCAAAATTTTGTCGCTAAAAGTCTAATTTTGTCGCTAAAAGTCTTATTTTTTACTTTTCAATATGACCTTTTAGCGACTATCCTCACAACGACAGAAATTGATCCCTAAATATCTTTAGTAACAAAATTTTCACTTTTAAAAACCAAATTATTTTGTATGTTGTAGTGATTATATAGACATATTTTAAGAGAGAGTATCAAAATTAGAAAAATAGTTTCTATTGAATGAATGTATAATAATGTCTAAATAGAACCTTTCTAAAAACATTTAAAAAATTGTGAAGTGTATATACTTAGATTGTGGGTACGGTTAGAAAAAAAAAATGTGTGTGTGCAAATAGTAATTCCATGAAAAGGAATGGGCCCTTTCCATGCTCGGACGTGAAACCGCGGCGTTTATCTCAAATTTACAATCAAAAAATATTCAATTTGTTTGTCTTCAGTTTTCACAAAATACCCTACTTTAAAAATAAAAAAATAAAAATTGTTTTTAATGAATTTTGAAAAATATTTAAGTAATTTTTAAATTTTTAGACACACTGAAAATAAATACACTAAAAAAATATAATATTTATGAAAAAATTCACTAAATACTAAAAATAAAAATAAAAAAATGAAAATTTGATATATTTTTCATATTTTACCTATTTATTAATTTTTTAAAATATTTATACATATATGTGATAGAGATTAAATTAATAAAATATAAAATTCAATTTGAACTATCAATTTTTTTTTTCAATAATTTCTGAACTAACAGGGGGTGAGTTCGTAACATTCATTGATTCACAATCAGACCACTGGTCTTTTATTACCTAAAAAAAAAAAATCAAACCTGTTTTTAATGAATTTTGAAAAATATTTAAGTAATTTTTAAATTTTTAGACACACTGAAAATAAATACACTAAAAAAATATAATATTTATGAAAAAATTCACTAAATACTAAAAATAAAAATAAAAAAATGAAAATTTGATATATTTTTCATATTTTACCTATTTATTAATTTTTTAAAATATTTATACATATATGTGATAGAGATTAAATTAATAAAATATAAAATTCAATTTGAACTATCAATTTTTTTTTTCAATAATTTCTGAACTAACAGGGGGTGAGTTCGTAACATTCATTTATTCACAATCAGACCACTGGTCTTTTATTACCTTAAAAAAAAAAAATCAAACCACTGGTTTTTTCATTTTCTTGTGTATATCACATTTTTCCTTGGCAATATCACCTTCCTCAATCTCCTTAACCAGCGCCGCCAATCTTCCCTGCACATCTTAACGTGCGCAGCAACCATGGCTCTGAGATGGCGATGCTAAAAAGCGCCGGGGGGAGATGGGTTGTGCATTCGGACTCAGAAGGTGGACCCACTCTATTGCCCAACCTCCGCCGCTGAATCCTCCGATGAGTCAAACCACCGTCTCATCACCGTTGGTCTTACCTGAACACGACCATGACTCCATTAACAACAACATTGGATTCCAATTCCCAAGAGGAAGGTGATTTCAGGCTCGAATTTCTTGCTCTCTTTTTGACCCCACAAAGTTCAATTGTATTTTTTTAAAGATCTATTTGTTATTCTATGATGTTTTAGGATTTGGGTTTTGCTTAATTTTTGTTGGGTATAGTAGTTTCAGGCTGTGTTTACACTTGTCCCTTACTATTGATCCAAAAAACACAACATTAGGGTTTAGGGTTTTGTGACAATACAGTTTGGACTGATACTATGCATTTGGCTTGAGGTTCTTACTCATCTGTCTCCCTAAAAAAAAAAAAAAGAATTAATTTTCACTTGATACTAGGATTTGAGTTGGATGTAATGTATGCTTCACTCCTTGTTTGGATTATGCTTGAGCTAGTTCTGGTTAGCTTCAATTTTTATTTGTTTGATCCTCAACAACTTGGCCCTTTGCACTTTCATTTTTCTTTACAAACATTGCAAACAATTTGATTTTCAATCTTGTGCAGTTTGTACAGTTTGGTCAAGGTTTCCATAAATCTGATTACTTTCAATTCTACGGTTTTTTATTAGACTCTGTTTGGATCGTGAGATAAGGTGAGAAAAGAAAAGAAATGATTATAGTTTCTTACCATTATGATTGGATAAATAAAATAGAAGAGAATATAATTTTTCACCTATCTTGTTTAGATATAGTAAATAACAGAAAAGAAAGAAAAGTGTTAAATTTCATTTTACCAAAATAACCTTCCATATTAATAAGCTATGTTTTTTCACATGATAATTTTGGTACCTTAGAAAACTTCATTAAACCCAATTTCTTTCTCACCAAATCTCACCACTTTAGGTGAGAAACAAAACATAGGTTTGGTGAGAATTCTCTTCTTACTATCTCTCATCATTTCTCACAATTTCTCACCTACTTAACCCATCCAAACAAGTGAAGGGTTTCCTATTCTCACCACTTCTTTTCTTTTCTCACCAAACCCCTCCATCCAAATGGATTTTGAAAACCCATCCAAACAAGTGAATGGTTTCCTATTCTCACCACTTCTTTTCTTGTCTCATCAAACCCCTTCATCCAAATGGATTTTGAAACCATCACACCGTACTATGAAAGGTGACTGAGGTTTTGGACACCATAGATTACTATCTATATGAGACCTTGTTTGTGGCTTGGGTGATGCTGTGTTAATTTGTATCGTTGGGTAGTTTACAAATTATTTTCATGTTGGATTGTCCATATCTTGTTTCATATACCCACATTTTATCTCACACTTTCAAGCATTGGATTTTTGTAATGAATAACTGAATTCATCATCACAAAGTCTATCACATTCACCAACGTACTATTAGGTTGTGCTTGAATCATGGATTTAGGTAGGAATTTAGAAAGGGAAAGGGAAAATGTAAGTTAAATATAGCTACATTTCACCCGTTTTTTCCCTTTCACTTTCCAAATCCCTACCCAAATATATAATTCAAACACAACCTTAGTTTTTATAGCTCCCCATGTGTGGTGATAATAATATGAATTTGTTTTAGGAAAATTGTGAATTAGTTGTCTCAACATCTTTAAAAGTATGAATCTCTTCCCCTTATATAGCAGTCTAGATTTCCATAAATTGTCTTTGCAATATATCATCATTCCTTTATTTATGCAATTGTATATGCTTTTCCCTCGACAATTAAATAGAGTCGTGCATCCTTTTGTTGTGTCATCCCTCGATTTCTATTCTCACCTGTGCTGATTAATTAGCCAAAGTGTTGTCTTGTGTTGAATGTTACAATCTAAGAAGCACGGACACTTCTAAGAAGGTGACGTATCCGTGTCGGGTACGTGTCGGACACCGACACTCTTTGGACACTCTCAGGACACGTGTCCGACACTCTTCAAAACGTGTCCTATTGTTTAAAGACTTGGACACTCTTTGGACACTTGAAGGACACACGTGTCTAACGATTAGACATACGTAAAACTAATTATAAGTTTGAACAAAATAACTTAAGATACAATAATAAAATAAAAACCATATAAATTTATAAGAATTAGTGTCATATTGCATTTTTTATTATCTTTGAATGATATATTCATATATATATATAACATATAATAAATATATAAAATTATATATTTCATACGTGTCCTCCTCGTGTCGTGTCCTGCATTTTTTGAAAATTAACGTGTCGGCGTGTCCGTGTTGTACTCGTGTCGTGTCACGTGTCCGTGTCCATGCTTCTTAGGTTACAATGTTATAATTAGTTGAATTTTCACCCCAATAGATCAATGTCATTGCGGTAGTGTTCTGGCTTTAGAATATTAATGAAAAACAAAAAAATGTTCTTCTAAAGCATGGGTGCAAATGATAAAATTTTCTTGATCATGCAGGTTTCTCCGCACAAGAGAGGCATAAGGAATGGACCAAAGGCTTTGAAACCTGTTCCAGTGATCATCCGCTGCAAGTAAGGACTATGCTCCTATTATTTGCAATTGACATTTTATGTTTCCCATATAAATTTATAGATGCATGACTCCATTACTTTATCTTGAAAATTTTTCAAAACTTCTTACTACAATGACTCTGGTCAGCCTGTGAAGTCACTTCCGCACAAAGCTTTGGTTCGGTGTGTATTTATAAAACAAAGCCTTTAAAGTTCGCAAGTCTTAAAGTTCATATGTTGTTATATCTTATCTCTCAAAAAACAAAATGTTCATGTATGTCCTTGAATCGACTATTGGAGCAGCTATTTTTGTGAACTTCTGAATTTTGTCGTGTGACAATCTGCATACAAATACGACATACATTCATCTGTAGTATAATACTATAATGTTATTGGGGCATGTAACTTATGCTCCAAGTATCTTGTTAAAATAAAGAGTAAATTACACTAACCTCTCCTGAGGCATAAAGAAAATACATTGAATCCCATAGTTTGGCATTAATTACATTGAGTTCGATTAAGTTTTTAATTCACATAATACTTGTTCTCATTTTCATTAATAATTTGCTAATTGTGTGCATAGAAAAATAGTATTGTCATCTCTTTTATACTAAAATATATCATTTTTTTGTTTATCATTGTGCCTTCATAGCATTTACATTAATTCTAGTCTCTTTAGTCTTACTAAAAGGGATGTCGTCAAAATTGTGGGGCTTCTTGTATTTTTTATTTATTTTTTAAATCTTAAAGGAGGTCAGTATAATTTACCCTAAAATAAATACGCCCATACACATTGGTCATATTTTTGTCACTTGGTAAACCAAAGGACGTCACACTCGCACTCGCATTTGATTCCTGTTTTTGTCTATGCATTTAGCCTATCATGTCTGTACTTAACTTCTATTCCATCTTTTCCAGAAGTCAATCGTCATTTTCTTGTATGGATTTAGGTTTTTATTTGTTATATTCTCTATTCTATATACCATTTTCTTTTTATCAAATTGCTATATTTTGCAATCGAATCAACCAAGAAAACAGGGTTACAGGTAATCCACTAGTTGAAACAGATTGAAAGGGTTCTTTGCAAAATGAAGCAACAAAGCCTTCGTTTGGCATAAGCTAAAATGGGATTTTTTGGCTAAAATAATCACAAAAACACAAAGTAGACTTTTTAGTTCAACAAAATAAAATGTCACATTTAAATTATAATTATTTTATTTTTTTTCTTATAAAAGTCAAAAATATTAAAAAAATTTATCTCAAACGAGATTCTTTAATTCTAGATTAAAATAATTAAAAAATTAAAAAGTTATCTCACATCTCAAGCGAATGCAAAATGTTGTAGATGGAGAGCTAAAACAACCCAGTTTTTAAAAATATCTCATAATGGTTACCACGGCTGAAATTCGTCATATAGAAATGGGCCTTTTCTTCTGGGCCAATTACAAACTTTTTGGGGCATTATTTTTTTATATTTGGAACAGTTTTGGGCCACTACCTTGCCATGCGCTGTGGGTATGGAATAACTTCCCTTTTCCAACATGTAAAGTTAAACAGTTTCTCGAGTTTAGTTTGTTTATTTCCACATTGTTTGCTTCTGCAAGGCTTGAGACTCTGGTGGATCTGAGTGTTTCTGTATTTCTACTTTGGAAACAATGTTGAATGCACTGCAGAGCCTTGTTTGGATTTATGGTCTTTTTCAATGGATAATCCATAGGCCTTGAGGACAAGACCTTCTTAAGGGGGTGGGAATGATAGGAGTCTTACTAAAAATTTAAAAGAAGAAAAGACATATAATACAGTAGCCATATCAGTGAGTTGTAGAGCTGAGATTAGAGTAGTGAATTGGTAAATTATCCAGTTGTTAGTCAGTAATGAGGAGAATTGGTAGTTTACAAATAAGTTGTATTTCTTTCTCTTCTATGAATTCTCTCTGTTGTGCTCTTTTTTTTCCTTCCACTCTTTCTATATTCTGCTACTAACTGCCGGACACACGTGATGCGTGTCCAATTTCTTTTAGAATTATAATATAAATTTCATATTATTTTTTCAAATAATATACATACAAAAAATAAATAATAAACTATTAATATAAATAATAAAAAAAACCCAAAAAAAATTAAGACTATTATGTAGTCTAAACAATTGCACACACAAATTATGTAGTCTAATAACATAAATTTTTTTTCTTTTTACTTTTTAATGAAGAAAATAAAAAGTGTAAGCTATAATGGTACACGCAAAATACCAAAACATAAACCCATATTCTTGGAACACTTGCAGTAAAAAAGAATTGATATACAAAAAATAAATAATAATCTATTAATCTAAATAATTAAAAACCCAAAAAAAATTTAAAAAAATTAAGAATATTATTTTTTTAAATAAATTTTTTTTTATGAACATTGAATTGTTTATAAGAAAAACACACACACAAAATTAAGCAATCAAACAAACTAATTTTTTGAAAACATAAATTGTAAACACACAAACACAAATGTTGATAACACAATGAAAATTTTTTAAACCTGATAACACAATGAAACATTTCATTTTTTATAAATTTTTTATAGAAAGTATGATTAACAGTATTACACAAAAAAGTACAAAAAATAAAATAAAATCAAAGACACTCATTTTATATGATTTTTTTTAAGAGCACTAAATTTTATTTTAAATAATATACACAAAAAATTAAGTAAACAAACAAATCAAATTTTTAAATAATGAATTTTTAAACAAAAAAACAAACAAAAGCTTAAAAAAGAGAAATGGGAAAAAACCCCAAAGTGTTTAAATCTAAGTCAGTCTAAAAAATTGCGGACAGTTGTGATAGTGCAAACTGTTCAAAGAAGCCTGCACAAATACGAAAATAAAACATTTTTTGCTTTGAAATTAAAAAAAAAAACATGAAATTAAGCAAACAAACAAACCAATTTTATTGACAACATTTTGTTTTTTTAAAACACACACAAAAATTAATCAACCAAACCAACCATTTTTTTAAAAGAATAAATTATAAACTCATAAACACAAAAACAAGAACACTAATTTGAAGGAAAAAAACAGGCACACACCCACAAATTAAGTAAACAAACAAACCAAAATTTTAAAATTGAATTTATACACAAAAACAAACAAAAGTTTAACAAGGAAAAATCCCAAAATTTTTAAGTCTAAGTCTAAAAAAGTGCATGCATTTTCTGCTTCGCAATTTAAAATAAAAAAAAATTCAATATAAAAATACAAAAACACACCAAATTAAAAAAAAATTACAAATCTAAAGCACAAAAAACACTGAACTTGAAGCGCGCACACTGAAATAAACAAAAACCAAATTTTTTTTTAAAAACAAATGAAAGTTTAAAAAAATGAAACAGAAAACACTTAGAGATAAAGAGCTTTGTTATACACTTACAGTAAAAAATAAATTAATTAATTAAAAAAATAAATTTTATGAAAACTGATTATTTTTTCTGCTATGTTTTTTTTCCCCAAAGAACCTGAACACTATTAAGAGAACAAATATATAAATCAAAACAAATTTTACGAATACAAATCATTTTTTATAGTGTGTGTTTTTCCCCAAAAAATTTGATTATATAATTGAACTTTGTAATGAAGAAAATAAAAATTATAATTATACTTACTTTTTTTTTTTTTTTTAGATTCAAATGAAAAGTAAAGAACAAGAGTTAAAGAGTTAAAGTTACAAACAGAGAGCTAGTCCCTCACAAAGCTAACTCCAGTCATGTCATCAATAAGGAAAGTTGTAACTTCAATTGGAGGATTATCAAGAAAAACAACATGCTCATTTTGAGCTACTCCCATGTTGGCTAGACGATCAACAGCTTTGTTTCTCTCACGTAAGGTGTGCCCAAGAGAGCTGTTACTCCTCCTTAACAGGAACCTAGCATCTTCAATGAGGGCTTTAGAAGGAGAGTGTTGAGTTGGTCCATGCAAGATTTGGTTGATAGCCTGTTAGTCAAATTCTATTTGGACATCTCTGGAGCCTTTTTGGAAGAGTATGGTTAGTCCTTTGTAGATGGCCCATATCTCTGCCTCTAGACTTGAGCAATGACCCAGCTTGCCATAGTAGCCCCATATCCAAGTACCAGCTTCATCTCGCAATAGTCCTCCATAGCCTGCCTGCCATGGGTTACCTTTTAAGCATCCATCAGTATTAAGTTTGAGCTTACCTACAGTTGGGCAACACCAACTAATAAGTTTAGGAGCTGCAGGAGGTGAGTAGAGAGGGGAGAGAAAAACCTCATCAATCTCTTGAACATATAGGAAGATGTTCTTGAGATTGATCTGAAGTGGGTTGGAAAGATTATCAAAAACCAATTTATTACGGTCTTTCCAAATTTGCCAAAGAGTGACAATGAAAACAAGGTACCATTTTTTTCGATGAAAAAGATTTTTGTTTTTCATGTTCAAAATAACCCATTTAGTTACAGGCAATTTCTTTCCTTCTTCCCACCAATTACATTGTAAGATGAGTAGTGCATATATACTTTGGCCAATCACTCTACCAACTTGCAATAAAATCATATGATTGCAATGTACTTGATTAGTGTTTCTCCTCCAAATAAAAAAATAAAAAACGTTTTTTGAATAAGTTCCAAATGAAAGTGAAAACGTTTCAAAAAGAAAACAGAAAAGTTTTTAGCAAAAATTAAAATTGAGTTATAGAAAGAAGTCTATGATGGTGAAACCTTTGTGAAAGGTGGGAAGTTATTCAATGTGGGAAGTTATTCAACATGGAGTTATGCAGTTGTTATATTTTTAGGACTGCAAAATGCAGTGATGTTGTAACTGCTTTAGGACTGCACAACAATGAGGAGACGTGAAGAGTAGGAAGTGGGAAGTGAAATTGGTTGTTTTCATTTATCATTTTACCCCTAATTAAAACTGATGTAAGTGTAAGAAGTTAAGGTCATTTTAAGAAAAATTAGGAAAAGTTTCTGAGGAGTAGCTTCATGACACCAAAATTATTGTTCCCTTTTAATAATAGAATAGATGAAATAGGGTCAAATTCACAGCCTATTGCAGGAGAGGAACTACTTCTAATGTAGGAGTTGTAATTGAGTGGAGTAGCAGGTGGTTCAAGTTTGACTTGATAATTTAATGAGTTTTAAGCTGTCTTTTAGTTTGTCTTGTTTAGATTATGAGTCGATCTCAAATATGTTTAATTAAGTCGAACTCATGCAGTTTAATTTTCTTTTTTATAATATATGTATATTTATAAATTATTATTACAATGAGGAATATCAAATCAAATATAACACGTGATTAATACAAAGAAACTTCCAAAGTG